ACTCAAAAAACTTTTCAAATGATCCTAAATTGAGTTTAAAAAGAAAGGAAAAATGGAGATTTTGAATGGAAAAATTTTGACATAGCTTTCTATCCTCACAAGGATTGTAAATGGAACCAGACAGTGTGAAAACAATTGAAAAGTGAAAATTCTATCTTTGCGAAAAGGTCAAAAAATAGTAAATCGAGATTATAAATAGCTCTGGAGAATCATCTATAGACCGCTATAGTTGCCACAGACTTTTAATAAGCCCCCAAAAATGTAGAAAATGTGTTATGAAATTTGAAATAATAGTGTGAGCATTTATAACTCGTGATTAGCATTTGCTAGTGTGAAATACTACTTATGAAATGAATTAATCTGTAATTGACATTATTATTGAAATGCTATATTACGGGACTACATTGGTATCAAAAAGAGGAGTTGGAGAGAAGTCAGTCGATTAAGAGGAGAGTACATTTCTCACTAGTATTTTATAATATAAAATTGCATGAGTATTATATTTGATTGATCTTGTGCATATTCTATTATTTTTCATGTATATGAAGTGAAATGTGGTTTAACCTATTTCTGTTGTGGCCTAATATACAATACAGTTTTGATTTCATACAAGAGATTAAAAGTAAATTTGATTTCATATAAAATGTGATAATTGAATTTGGTTCTCAAGCGATCTCAAATAATTGTAAATATTGCTTTACTTGAAAGCTTTTGAAGAAAAGAAGTATTTTGAATGTGTTTCAATAGTTTAATGGATTCAAGGATCTTTCTATAGCTTGGTATCTTATACGAATAGATAAAAGTGAATTATGTAAACTGTCTTAACTAACATGGCGAGTTTTACACTCTTCCACTTGATTCGAAATTGTTAACAATATTGATAAATGGTGTATTTCTGATTTGACAAGTGATTCTTGATGTTTTTAAAACCCGTAGGAAGTCCACTATGGAGTGTTCTGTTTGTGTCTGTCATATGGTGAATGCACCTTTATTTGGCTCTTCTGTATTTAGCCCTTTCGAAATTTATTCTGGTTCTTGTGTCTTTGGTTAGTAACCTGTAACAGTGTTAGACGCATTCGATTTTCATGAATTATTAGTGCTGTGATGTGTTTTACGCATTCCCATGCTACCGAGCTATAATATTCGTAGTCTTAGTGTGACCTGTGAGGTGATTCTTGCATTACATGAACGACTTATCAAGATCTGAGATTCTGACATTTGACTATGAATTTGAGAAAACAATAATCTTTTGATTTTGTACAAATTTAATAATCCTTTTTCTTTTTTAGTATTTACCTTGATTTCAAAAGGAGAATTTTTTGAAATAGACTAGTTTTGATAAACATTTAGCAAAATCTACCGTTTTGTTAAATATTTAGCAAAACCGACCTCTTTTTGGTCACCTCACCAAACTGGCCAAAAAGAGGTCGGTTTTGCTAAAGATAATTTTTGAAACACATGAGACTAATAGTCCAATGTATTTAGTGACTGCTAATTGGCCACTAATCAACAATCAAAAAACCCACCAAACTACTAGTCCCGTGGATTTTTTTTTAATTTCTTATTTTTTTGGGGAACGGTAAGAAACTGAGGGGGTCAGAAACTCGGAGAGGCCGTAGACATGAGTTCGCGTGGAAAACAAGAATAATTACACTAACACGTTACATATGAACCCAAACATTGACGCAATGAACATCACGTGGGGCCCACTCCATAGATGGTGGGTGATATTTTGGTATCGTTATATTCATAATTGCTATGTTAATGAAGGCTCATTGTGGGCAGCCAAGGTATCAGGTACACAAGGTGTCAGTGTAATTATTCTTGTTTAAACTTAAGCGGCCCCCACGTGATGTTCACTATGTCTGAAAAAACCAAGAAAATTTAAAAGAAAAACCCATGGGACTAGTAGTCCCATGGGTTTTCTGATTGTTGTTTAGTGGTCGATTAGGAGCCACTAAACAAACGGGACTAATAGTCCCATGTGTTTCGAAAACCACATTCAACAAAACCGATCTTTTTTTTGCCTAGCTTTGGTGAGTTGGCAAAACTTATAAGTCACTATTTCTGGAAATTATTATTATGTTGTTAGATATCTAGGAACCTTAGTTGGAAATGTTCTCACTAAGCTTTAGCTTACCCTGACGTTTTTAAATTTTTCCATATGCCATAAGGTTTTGAGCAAAGACTTTTGGGATGATAATTTTTCCCTTGTGTATAGCCAAACATCGTGTATTGGATTCTCTAAAATATTTATGGCAGTGAACTTTTTAATTGTGAATGCTGGTTATGTATATAGTTGCTCTGAAGTACTATCAACATCAAATTTTATATTTCTATGACGAGCTATGTAGTATGTAGTGCCAGTCTTGACACGTGCATGAGACTTGTCTTGCGCACGTGTCGCTGCTGTTGCGTGCCTCGTATTTAGTTTTAGCTGCTATTTTGGCAGTGTTGACACATATCAGACCCCCACATCCACACATCCATCATTCTGCCATCCACAGAGTTAAACGAGACACAATATAGTATAATCTCTGGGAACTATTCACAAATTCTCTCTTAATCAACCTCCTAGTGTATCCCTTACTTCTAGAGGAATAATTATTACATGCACATTACAAATCTTCTGCATCCTCGTATTAAACAAACAAAGTGCAATATAATCTCCTAGACAAATCTTTCACACCTTCCTATTGCACACAAACCTTCAATTGAACATACATGTGTTGTTTGGTTGTCAGAATTTTTCATGTGTTGTTGTGTTGTGTCATGTCATGTCAGAATTTTCCATGTGTTGTGTTGTGTCAATATGATCTTCCGCACCCTCGTTGCAACATAGTCTTTTTACCTTCGCTTACCATCTTTCTCATTTACATTGATGCCGCGCTTGTCAATTTGATTTCTATCTGTAGAGCATTTTTCCTGTTATTTCCAAACAAAGCAGATGGTAGTGTGGAGTTCCAAGTATGTGATTTTCTATGGTGCATGAGTGCGGGTACGATACACGGCTACATGTGTAGTGTGAGTGTGTATGTGGTTTAATAATTTCACATAAGTTCATATTGTTTTTCCATTCACATCTTGTGAGAATCAAAATTTCTATAACATTTTTTTTATCCTGTGGATAGTAAATTGGCAAATTGCTTTTTTATAAAACTAGATATTCAAACGACCCATTAAAATCATAGTTCTGAATTGGATATGGGTACGGCCTTAAACGGAGGTATCTATGCAATATAGGTGATTTCATATTATTGCATGCAAACCCATTTTATTACGCAACCACCATAAACCAACCTCCTTCCTAAAAAAGGTTCCCTGGCTTTATGTGTTGGTTTCCAATGAGCGGCAACCTTGGATGCCTTTATGGTCCTCTGTTGGGCTTAAAGAACCGACTTTCTAGCAGCCACCAAGCTAATAGAGCAAAGGTTAATCCTCCAGTCTACAGTTGCTCCACAATCAAGTGCTGTGGGTCCATTTCTCTGAACAGAAACACCCGAGTAAGATGGTACTGGGGCGCGAGTTGAACTGGAGAATCTCTACCCCCATCTGTTCTATTAAATCATTGTTCATACTACAATTTACTAAGACTAGTGTGCACCCAGTACCATTAATGCTACAGTTATTCATGTGTAGCGTGAATAGCGCATCTTAGATCCCCTGTCTGTTCTACAGTAACATGCTACAGTAATTTATTGTAGCATGAATAGTGAATCTTGGATCCTCCCATTATTATAGAGGAATAGATGTCACCCAATTAAAGGAAAAAAAGAAACAAACAAACACAGTTGGTGTTCATAAATTATATCGTCTAATGAAAACAAACTCACACTTAACCTGTTCTATTTTATTTAATTTAATTTATTTTTTTTGTTAATATAATGAATAGACAATCCTAATACATTGTTGAATTTGATATCTTTGGCAATATTATACAGGAAGTTCAAGAGTACTTCACCAATTATATCGTCAACGAAACCCTAGGAATCATCGCGAATGCCCACACAGTCTTTGCTGACAAGGAACCACTCAAGGCAGAGAGTCAGGAATGCATAGAGCTTGCAAAATTATTTTCCATCGCTGTTGATTTTCCAAAGACTGGCGTGCCTGCTGAAATCCCACCCCACCTTCATGTGAAAGAGTACCCGGACTTCATGGAAAAGCTTGACAAAGAGACATACGAGTCCCAGGGAGTTATCGGTAAGCTCTTCAGAGCTGTCAAAGGCCACTCAGCTGATTCAAACCATATAAAGGCATTCACTAAGGAGATTGCGAGAAAATCATATGACCCTGACATGGAGGTTAATGGCTTTATAAACTATCTTGATAAGGCTTTCACTTTTAAGGAGGACTATGACTACAAGTTAGGATGTCTAATGGACCAATATGAAATAAAAACCGAGGCAGAGATTCTTAGTGGAAGTATAATGAAGATGTCAAAGACATTCAACAAGTATAAGGATGGAGAAGCTCTAAGCAAGGCAGTGAGGTCACTGAGGAAACAAGCGAGAGGGTGGTTTAACAAGAAGTGGGATGTTGATAACCCATATGATGATGATGAGGATGCTAAGGCATCAGCTTGGTATCATGTGACTTATCACCCGGACTACTGGGGATGTTATAATGAGGGATATAATTGGCCACATTTCTTAAGCTTTGCTTGGTGTGTTTATGACAAGCTGTTAATCATCAAGCAGGAAAAGATGAGGATGAAGATGATTCAGAAGAAGAGAGATGCTGCTAGATTTGGCTCACTGCAGCAACAATTTGGAGGCCTTGGGCTCAACTAAGAGGAACATGATGTATGTAGATGTATAGATAATGACTGCTAAAAACAATGGAGGTTCAAGGTGTTATGTTGGTCATGACCTGTACAGGTTTATTTGTGTTTTTCGTTGAGCAGGTATTAGCGAAGTTGGTTTTCTGGTTTAGTATACATAGTTTGTTTAGCAACTGAGCAAGTAATTGGATCATTTGAGCTACAGTTTTTGGATAGCTTTTATCAGTCTTCTTCTGCCTTAGATTAGAGAATGGTTATGGTCTTTAATTTTCTTCTTCAGGTCAATGTTATAGAAAGCGCTAGGCGATTGAGGGACGCCTAGGCGGTGTATAAACGTTTGGCCTTTTTAAAATTATTTAATTGTAATAATTGATAAAAATATGTATTAAATTCACATCAATTTGTCAAAAAGTAGATAGCAATCTTAGATTCACAATACCATGTATACTTAAATACTAAATAAACAAAATAATAACTAAGAAGGTTATAGAAAGCGTTGGGAGCCCTAGGCGTTGGGTTTGACGCCTAGAGCCTAGGAGATATTCTTTTTTATTTTGTAGTCATAATAATTGATAGTAAATATCAATGTTATAGAAAGCTTAGGTGTTGGACTGGTGTTTAGGCGAAATTTTTCTTTATTTAAGTGGTGGTCGATAATGTTTTGCTCAAGGTCGGAGGAAGTAATAGAGATGATCATACTTGGAGGTTAAAGGAGTATGAAGGAGGTTGGATGATGTAGAGGTTGTAACATAGAAAATCAACAATCAATACCTAAAGAGTGCAGTCCATATAAGTTGACAATGCTCTCTTAAATATCCCCAAAACCTAGGTAGGCAACATAGGTACCCTAGGGGCTAGGTGCTAGTTAGACGGCCTAGGTATCGCCTAGGCCTAGGCGGACTAGACAAGGTTTATTAAAACAGTGCTTCAGGTTATTGCAACTGTTATTCATGTAGAAAGCTTTTATTTTCCGAGGGCTTGTCCTGCAACAAGTGGGAGTTTCAATAAGTAAAATTTATGCTTGAGCTCATTCTGAAGCCTCTTCAATGAATCTGAATGACTATGAGCACCACAAAAGTCATTAATTTTGGATTAACATAGAGGATCTTTTAATCTGTTCTCTATATTTTTTATCTGCCGTTTAATAGTTGTATTAGTAGTTCCTACATGATGCTGCTGCTATTAGGATACTTGGTTTCACTTAAATATGCTGATATGGTTCGCTACGTTCAAACTCCTTAGTATTTATTAGCTTAGTTATCAAATTTCTTTTACCAATCCCTTTCTATTTTACTTAATTGTTTGAAACAAAGCCTAAAGGTGTAACCATGTCTTTTTTTTTTCAAAATTATCTTCGGCCTCTTATGAGAACAATTTTCCCCATCGACAAAAGAAAAGACGCCTTCGGCCGATAAATGCGAGAGTTGACATTCTATAATTTGCAAATAAAAGACGAGCTTTGAAGCTTAGGCTTACAAGTTTTGTTCAGTGGTATAATGAATATATCTGGTTACTACCGCAGACAACCTTACAGTCTTAGGAATGTGGATAACTTATTGTATTCTATTCCATTATCGTCTCATTGAGCTAATAACACTTAATATTTTTTTCATCTTGGCTAATAAGTTATGCCAATTGTGCAAGTGATATTTTGATTATCCAAGTTCTATTTTATTTTACAAAATTAAATTTGAAGCCTGCTCCTCAGCTCTTTGCGTTACAGTATTAAAAATTTGGGTTTTAGATTTAGATGCCATATTCCAGAATTAGCTATGCATGCGTTTACTTAGAAGTTTTTGAGGTTTCCCGATATATACCTCTCAAATTGTAGTTATTTTTAATTTTTCTCCCAAATTATGTTAAACTTTCACAAAGGTTAAAAAAGTATAACCCCATATAAGGATAAACTTTAAACCAAGTCAGAAGTTGGGATAAAATGATTGAAATGTCAAGGATGGCTTCATTTACTTGTGGAATTTAAAAAAATAAGCACAAAAAAGATTCAAAACTTTACAAATAGCCCTTAAAAATAGAAAATTAAAAACATCCCTCTGTAAATAGAAAATTGCAAACGACCTTCCGAACAATCCTAAAACTACAATAAAAAAAACACTTTAAAAATTTTAAAAGAACACTAAAAAAATTCAAACATGTAAATAGCGATGAAAATTTCAAATTGTTAAAAACTAGTCCCTGAAAAATTTTGTAATTTACAAAAAACAACCTAAAAATTTTATAAATCGCAAAAAAAGCTAAAAATCCAGAATTTCTTAAAAAAAAATGAGAATTTCAAACAAACAAACAGTACACAAAAGATATAACAATTACAAACAACCCCTAAACAATTTGGAATTTGTAAAAAGTACCCTAAATGTTTTAAAATTTTCAAAAAAATCTTAAAAATTAAAATTTTCTCAAAATACCTTGAAAATTTCAAACATATAAACAAAACATTGAAAATCTAAGAATTACAAATGGCCCTAAAAAAATTAGGAATTAGCAAAAATATCCTAAAGTTTCAAAAATTACAAAAAATTGATAAAAATTCGAAATTTAAAAAACACTATGAGAATTTTAAACATGCGAAGTGTAAATTGAAGATATTGGAGTTAGAAATAACCTCTAAATAATTTGAATTTTATAAAAAAACACTTGTGAAGTTTTGAAAATTACAAAAAAATAAAATAAAATAAAAGCAACCTAAAAAGTTCATAATTTATTAAATTACCTAAGAATTTCCAACCTAGAAACAATACTCTAAAAATTTTGGAATTACAGACGACTTGTAAAAAAATAGAATTTGTGGAATGCACCCTAAAGTTTTAAAAATTACCAAAAAACTTTAGAATTTAAAATTTACAAAAAAACACTTTGAAAATTTCAAAGCTACAAATAGTATAGTGAAAAATTTGTAAATTTAAAATTTTCAAAAACACCCTGAGGTTTAGAAAAAAAAAAAAACACTCCCAAAGGTTTAAAATTTAGGGAAAAATATGTCTAGGCCCTAAAAGAAGAAACTTCATGTGACGAGGCCCTTTGTATTTTCCCCCATGTGGATAAGCCCCAAATACGCACAATATTTGCGACGAGGTCCTGAAAAGACCTTTTTTAGAAAAGGCCCAGCGGAAGTTACGATCGTGCCCCTCTGATGGGACTGAACTCGGTTAATGCGCTGCAGCCCTATTCAAGTACCCTCCCTCTCTTTCTCTCTCTTCCACTGCTTAGGAGCCTCAAAAACTCTTCATCTTTCTAATTTCTGTTCGGATTTCAACAATTCTAGGGTTTTCGCTGGAAAAATGTCGTCCATTGAAGGATCCGTTAACGACGACGAGGTCGTTCAACGAGACGAGTCGATGGGCAAAGACGGTTCATCTGTGGTTGGCAGTGCGGAGGAAGCTACTCTAACCCTTTTAGAAATGCAAAAGCATGCAATAAAATGGCGAGCCCGGAAAAGAAGAACGGCATTGGCTCGTTGTACCAACGAACCCCCTCCAAAAAAAAAACAGTAAGTGCTATGTTATCCAGTATTTGGGAACTCGACCTACTTTTCCCTAATTTCAGTTCATCTTCGGCCTAAGCACTTCCCCTTGCACGTGATTCCTTCTCCACAAGCAGAGGCTTAGAAAGGAGATCTCCCTTGCCGAAAAGAGAGAAACCTGAGAGAACGTCAAATGTTGAAATCCACTTCTTCTCGACCAATGTGAAAGTCAAGTTTCAGTCAGGAGGTTCTTCAACAATGCTAGGTTTTACCAAAGTATTGTTAGTTTTAGTCTGAGTCCACATGAGTTCTAGTTTGAGTCCAATGTTAGTTCTAGTTTGAGTCCAATGTTAGTTCTAGTTTGAGTCCAATGTTAGTTCTAGATTGAGTCCAATGTTAGTTCTATAACAGTACGCGTTAGTTCTATTATATTCCCGTTAGTGTTAGGTCTAATATGAGTTCATAGGTCTTATTGAACTTACAAATTCGAAATCTTTTTGCAGGGAAAAAGTTGCTCTTACAGGTGCGGCTGTATCACTAAGGTTAACCGCCAATATCGGTGCCTATTGGGAATTCATAAAGCGAATTGCCCCGAAGATTCGTCAATGGCATAGGGATGCATACGGTAGTTCTATATTTGAGCACTATATTTTATTTGGGGCTCCTGCACCTGATCGGCCCACACTTGAACTGCTGCTGAGCTATTTTGACAGGGATAATAACACATTTTCTGTACCTGATTCAAAAAGTGGGTGTGTGAAAAATGTTAAATTTGATTTGCAATGGGTCCATAACCATACTTATTTCCCAACTTATGGTGAAGTCATAAGTATCAATCGGGACTCAAGAATCAGAATATGGGTGGAATACTTCGCTAATCTTTTCATTTCTGAAGAGGGTAAGAAGTTAAAAAAAGCAGAAACCACCCAACGTAAACACCTCGAAGGGCAACTGGAAAGGCTAGTGGAATCTATCCAGGATTTTGTTTTGCTACAAATCCTGTACCAATGCTCTATGATATGGAGCCCCAGAACCGGGGAAGGTATCCCTAGACCCTTACTCAAGTACCTGGACATCATTAAGAGGGTCAATTCTGTTGCTTGGGCCCGGTTCTTTTATGATGAAATTATCAGGGGCATTGAAGTTGCTTTGGGAGGAAAGGAGAAGCGAGGGGTCACATATGTCCTAGGTTGCATGACACTATTGTGTGTAAGTTCCATATTTTACTTATCTTGGTTCATTCTAGTTCTAATTTGTGTCGTGTGAGTTCTAATTATGCCATGTTAGCTCTAATCTACACCATGTTAGTTCTATCGCAGATTTTGTTAGTTCTAATTTGTGTCGTGTGAGTTCTAATTTATGCCTTGTTAGTTTTAAGATATACCATGTTAGTTCTAGTTGCACCCATGTTAGTCCTAACATAGGTCATGTTAGTTCTACCTGGGCTCATGATGGTTCTAACATAGTTTATGTTTGTTCTAATTAATGCCTTAGTCCTAATTTACACCATGTTAGTTCTAGCTGCACCCATAGTTTACTTTTTTTGGTGTAGTCTAGTATTATTCTAAATGCTAAATATATTACTACAGCTTTGGTACTACGAGATGACCGACATAAAGAAATATTCCCTCGTAGACTGCTCCAGACCTCCAATGACAAATTGGACACCAGAGGATGCTAAAGTCCCATCTATGAGGGTGGAGACAATTACAGCAAAGGCTAAGTCAGCGTCAATAACTTTTGCCCA